CATACCATCTAAACAAAAATTGAAAACCTTCAGTACCACCACTACAAAGTACTACTACCACCACCACTCTTGAACAAAGCTCAGATTGCATAAATTTATGAGTATTAGAGAAAAAACTCAATCAGGATATTGAGGTTTTAATTTTTGAATTTAATTTTAATTATTTTTGAATTAGTTAAAAATACTTCGCTTCTTTGCATACCACCTATTTTTCCCTTGAGTACCACCGGTTGAGAACCCCTGATCTAGGTGATATTACATAACAACTTTTTTTTTTATAAAATCAGATACAGTCAGCATCAGGTAGTGAACATTTGGCTGTAGGAAACTTAAGTCCAGATATGTAATATACATTAAAATTTTTGTTTATGACAAACTTTAGGTTTTGGTGATACTGAATTAAAAAATATATAAATTTTTTTAAATTAAAAAAAAGCTGCAAAGGGGGAAAATATATAAATTATTTATTTCAAAACAAACCTTCATATAAAAGCTTGAAAGAATGTTTTGAAAACAATATTGTAATATACTAAATGTTAAGTCATTAAGTACACTAAAGGACAAAAGAAGTTTTGTTTTGAAATTTCTCTTTATCCTTGAAAACACTATCAGATGAATAGAATAATACAGAATTTTTTAAACTGTGGGTCATGATCCCCTTGGAGTTCGCTGGACCCGCAGCAGGGGGTTGCCAAAAATTTTAGCAGTTTTGATATTTCTTTAATTTATTATAGTAATTTTACAAGTACCAAATATTTTTACACAGTGTATCTGAAAGTAAATAAAGATAAGACAATACAGACAAAGAAAAAAGCGAAAACTTTTTGAAGCATTCTTTTTATAATATAAACATTCATTTTCCTTGCTTTGCACGTGACACTGTCATTTTGTCTGTTACTTATTTAAAATTTTCACATTGTTCTATGACTAAAAATTTGAAATTAAAGTTAATGACTTAAAACTGCAATAGTATATTACAGTACAAGTGAAACAATTGACAGTTTTCACTCATGCGTGTGTCGGATTTATGCAACACTTATGGGGTCCCACAAAAGTTTTATAAATATTATGGGGTCCGGGGGGGTCGCAAAAAAAATCTTGGTGATAAAAAGGGGTCGCAAGTGTAAGAAACCCTGGAATAGCCCTGGAAATTGGCTAGGCTAATGGGAAGGAAAGGCAAAACATTTTAGTTGGATATGTTATTGGAAGAGTAATGGAGAATTGAGAAAGGATGTTCAAACAACTTTGTGCAAGCCCGAAAACATTCTGTCCTTATCTGCTCGCGTCAGCTCATGTGGCACCCAGCAATTAAACTTGTACACTGTGAAAAGAAAAAAAAAGGTAGTTCAATATCTTCCGTTCTACTGGGCTGATTGACAAAATTCAAAATGTGTTTTTCAAAAGTGCCACTTAGAATATATACAGTCAAAAGTATTTAATCCGGAATGATCTATAATCCGGACCTCAAAGCTACAAACTTTCTGTGCATGAGCAAAGGCATTATGCGTCTATGCATGTGCATAATACCTTTACGCAGGTGCATATACGTTTAATGTATAACAGAAGGTATAAGCTAAGCTAAAATTATCTAATCATCTATTTCAGTTAATGTTGCAGATTACGTTGTTCCTTAATCTTCTAATTGGATTCGCTTTTTTTTTTGCAGACTGTTAGAGCAATTTTATAAACGTAAGCTTGAACTTTTGATTATGTCAAAAAGAATTTCCGATTATGGAGCTTCCGAAGGATTTACAAAGCGAAAGCATGTTTCGATGTTCATCAAACAAACGTGGAATTGCTGAAACAATGATAAAGGCATATCCTTTGTTCTCTAACCATTCCAAAATCTCTTATAAATTTATGCTGCTCTGGCGGGGGGGGGGGACGTCGGCAGCGCCAATGACTGGAAGTTGATCTTCAGCACTATCCTTATCTTTGGCATGTTTTTAATTTATTCAGCTTATAATTCCTTACTAAATGTATATTTCATCTCATGTTTCCGTTTTTATATGATTTAATCAAATTCCTCGTCATTATAAATATCACAATACACATCAATATTTTCTGGTTGCAATTTCTAATTTCGACTATGCGTAATGTATGCTTTATGCATGCGCAGGTTGAAAGAAATGCTTAATAAAGTAAACAAATAAATATTAAGCTTTAGATCATAATTTCCCTTTATTTCATAAATTACAGTTTCATATTTTTAATTTTATAATTTCTGCATGCCGTCTTACCAGATTTAAACTTATGATCTATAATCCGGAAAAACCGATAATCCGGAATCGCCAAAGTCCCGATGAGTCCGGATTAAAGACTTTTGGACTGTATTAGATTTATATTATCATTGTTCTAACAAAGTCAGACATTTTCTGAAATAACATACCAATTTTTTTTCCATATTTTGATTCTACGACTCAAATTATGTCTAGATATTAAATTTTGTAAAATTTAGTGCAAAATTTACAGAAAAATTCAAGACTTTGTCTTGGCCCAATTTTTTTAATTTGCGCCAAGAATAATTCACTTGGCAAACCTCTTAATATGTGGCAACCAATTTTTCTTTCCCTTCCAGTATGCTGGAGTGGAAAAAAGGCACCTTGTTCCTTCCTTTGTACATTGTGCATGAGCAGGAAAAAAATCACTGCATTTCTACTTCCAAATAATTTTAGCAAAGTGTCTAAACCAAATTTGACATTTTATCTCTTATAACAAATATGCCAAATTTTAAAACGCGCCAATATATAAATTCACTTATATCTTCAGAAATTTTGAATAAAAAACAATAATTTTTTCCATGTATGCTTAGAAATACATCTACTTTAAGATGATGGTAAAAATTTTATAGATTATAATTCAAAAATTTGTTTGAAAAAATTTATAAAAATATTTAAAATACAAATTAAAAAATCGGTGAATTTTATTTGGAATGAACCTAAATTTCGAAATGTGAAAGGAAGAATCAAATAAGTTTAATAAAAAAAAGAGAGATTAATAACTTCAAACTAAACTCAATTAAAATTGAGGAGCTAAAATTCTGAGAGCTAATTTTTAAAAACTATTCGTACAAATTTTACAAAACTTGGTAGTTTGACGTAATTGACGTTTTAATTTGAGTCGTAGAATCGAAATATGGAAAAAATGGTATTTCAGAAAAAGTCAGATTTTGTGTCAAAATACCTATATTAGAACAATGCTATATGTAAATCTAATACATATCCTAAGTCATGCTTTCAAGAAATGAAAAACGCAAGTTGAATTTCATCAGTTGGCCCAGTAGAATGGGAGATATAGAACTGCCCATTTTTTTTGTGCTGTGTACGTCAAGTTTATGCCATGCATAGCGTGACTAATGGACGTGGCACAAACATCAAACTCCTTAGCAAGCTCTCGAGTGCTTGCATACTGATCTTCTTCCTCAAGTTCTCGCAGGGGGGCCTCATCAACGTCAGTAGGCCGACCAGAGTGTTCTGCTTTTTGAATGTAGTCCTTATTTTCGAACTTTCGGTACCAAACCTTCACGGTATCATATCATACAACATTAGTACCTAAAGCTATACATATGATTTGGTGACATTCTGCAGCTGACATTTTAATTGTCAGCTGCAGAATAATTGTTGACAGAACCTGAAGAAAATGATTGTTCTAATCTGGTAGTATGATAGTCCACTTCAGACACCTTGTGCTTAATGATAATTATTATTATTATTATTATTGAATTTCACAACACAGTGTTCCGAAGCAAGTCTCTCTCTTTCAAATGTTAAAAATCATTTGACAAAATATGATTAAACACGGCAACATGAACTGTTTGCGCAGACAATATTTGTAGTGGCTGGAAATTTTCATTAAAACTCGATTATCTCGGTTCCTTTGTTTAAGTTCTGGAGAGTGAATGAGCAAAAGGTTACATCAATGTAGAAAAATTGCAGGGAAAGAGTGCGTCATTGATATATATAGATGCACTGAAGGTGGTTGTATCAGGATTAACGTTAGGACTTTAAAAGACTATTGCCAATTTGTTCCAATAAAGTTTAACTTTTTAATAAATTTTCATCATATTTTTATATCTTATGTATAATATATAACACAGTTTGCCACTTTGCTTCTTCTTCTTCTTCTTTTTTTTTTTTGTATGCTGTCAGTATGCTGTTGGATCAGGTTTTGAGTTGCTTTTTACTTTGTATTTCTTTACTTTGCCTCCCTGTTTTCTAGTATTTTACAAACATGCTTCTTTTATTTTTGGTTTTTGTGTGTGATTTATTGGGAACTGAACATGTGATGAAATTCAAACATATTTTTTTTGTATTTATATATATATATATATATAGTATATATATGTAAATATAAAAAAAATATGATGGCTTTGCTCTACGCGAACATGCAACCTCATTTTAATTTTCAGCAATTTAAGATCTTCCCCCTAGACCAATACCTTCTAGAAAATACTAGCTTATTGCGTAACCGCTACCATAAATACTGAGTACGTGCCATTTTTCAGTCAGACTGCTTCTTAATATCACTGCTACAAGACTCTGCGCTGCTCTGTCCATTTTTCATTCCTTTGTTAGAAATAGTAATGACGCATAAAGTTTAAATTCAATCACACTTAAATAAAATCACTATGGATCTGTGATGTACAGAGTTTCATCTAAAAGGAAAATGATCTGCTAATTGGATTAAATAAAAATGTGCAGTTTAAAGCTAAATCAACTTGTCTCGTCATTTGGATTCTGCTTTACCGCTCTGCAAAAGCCATGCCTGAACTTTGATACCAAGCTTCACCACAACTGCTAAAATATCACATATATATATATATGTGTGTGTGTGTGTATATATATATATAGAAAGAAAGAGTGTGTGTGATATATTATTATGTGATAGAAAAGATCTTAATGTGTTGTAAACTGTATGCTAAAATTTAATGTAGTTCCTTTGTATAGTTTATGCATATAGTCTTTTACTATTCATTTACAAAAATTAATTATTTTTTTTAGATACGATGGGAAAAAAATATAACATTAGGAGAGCCTCCTGGGTTTTTACATTCATGGTGGTGGTAAGTATTTTTTATTATTTTTTCACTGATAAAATTTGTTTTATATTGTAATTTTTAGATGCATTTAAAAATACGTTTTCGTGAAATATGAACATAGGGTTGGGAACGGAGGAATTAATTCTCCGTTCTCAACCCTATGTTTATACATTTCTGTTAATGGGGTGTCGGTGAGCAAATGTGCACCAAGGTGCCAAATGCGGTAACCTCTATAAATTGCATCAGCTGTATAATGTTTAATGTGTGCAATACCAGTGCTGTGTAGGATACCAAATTTATGTAATTTTTTGGTATTTTTGCTTATAAAAACATTAAAAGAACTACACTAATTTGGCATTGTGCATAAATTTAGCATTCTGCTGATTAAAAATTATATACAGGGTGCCCAGTAAAGTCTGGTATCACTTGTTTAACTGCCGAACAGCTGCGGCTATAGTCACAAAAGTGGTGTCCAGGTATAGTAAAGTGGCTATGCGCTACTAGATGAGATAGCTTTCAATGCTGTTTGGTGGGAAAGAGAGTTAGGATAGATAGGAAGAAAAAGTGAATTACAAAGTTGCAGAATGTAGATTTAGTATGAAAAGACACCTCTTGGACATGAATGTTAAGAACAGAATGTTTTAAATGGGCGTATGTTTATTCGCGATTTCCGAAACTGTGACGTCACGAAAAGATCTTAGAAAGAAAAAAACAACTAGTTATCAAAGCTACCTTTATTTTTGATGTTTTAAACTTCTCTCCCATCAGCTGAAATGCCCATCTGGATACTTGTTAGAACTTCGTGTTGCACGTTTTAGCATAACGAGTTTGCACAAGCATCTGTAACACGTGCTTTTGAAGATAGAGACGTTTGTGGAGGGATCGCATACACCTGCTGTTTAAGGTATCTGCACAGGAAAAAGTCCTTTGAAGTCAGGTCCGAAACCACTGTACCCGATTATTCTTTCTCCGAATTCCTGCATCAGATACTATGGCTTGCAGAAGTTCTAAATATTGTGCTGCTGTTAATGTACCCTGGTAGAATATTGAGCCGATTAGCCTCTTATTATAAATTCCACACCAAACATTAATCGAAAACCGTATTTGATGTCAAATGTCTGCAGAACAGGATGGATTTTCCAGTGCCCAGTAATCAGTGGTCTGCCTATTGTACATTTCATTCCGCGAAAAGCATGCCTCATCCATCCACACCATATGTGCCAAGAATGTTGGCTGGACCTCTGTCTGGTTCATAAAAAAAGTTGCACCATACGAAACGTCTCTCAACATCCCCGTCCAGTAATGCCTGATTAGGTGTCAGTTGGTATGGATATAAGTACCTAATTCATTTAGGATTTTCCAAAAGCGACTTTTTTGAGAGGCCGCAGTTTTTGCTTATCTGTCTTGTGCTGCTGTTTGGATATGCGAGGCCGCAAGAGAAATCTTACGGTTGCACTTTCCGCCTTACCTTACTGGTCTGCCGAATTGAAGTCAGCCAGTCACGCAGCCTATCTCCCTTAAATGTCTCAAACCCTGCAAAATGATTTTGTATGAAGGATGCAGGACTATAGGAAAGCATTGCTAATGCAATTGTGCTGCCGATTGTGCCTTGTGCTCACATTCTCCGTAAGTAGAACCATCTCGCAACAATCATTTTTTGAAAATCACTACTTGACCATAAGCTTCAACATACAACCACGAGGAGATATCTCTTCTATAGCTCTCTCAGATGCATAGGTGTGACGCTTCATATACTATCTGCATAATGAACAAATTCGCACACCAAGTTCAAGTTGCATTGAATTGATGCGTTTTGTGATACGATTGTGCACGATCTGATGCGTTTTGTGATACGATTGTGCACGATCTGTATGTTGTTTACTCTGTTTATAAAGACAATCAGTACAAGGATGTACCCTGCGGGGTTTGAACCACAGTCCTCTCGACTCTGAATTGCAAGCAACATCACTGTGCCTCAATACAGGCATGTTTTTCATCTGAAAGATAATCTTTTTCCCTTGCATTCAAGTTTCATAACGTCACAGTTTCAGAAATCGCGAACAAACAATTGTGCATTTTTAGCGTTCTGTTTTTAGCCTTCGTATCCACAAGGTGTGTATTCATACTAAATCGACGATGCTGTACAACTTTAATACTCTTTTTCTTCCTGTCTCATATCATTTTTGAGATAGGGAGGCTAACTCCATCATTTTCACCAGGTGGCACTGTAAGCTATCTCATCAAGTAGCGCATAGCCACTTTACTATATCTAGACACCAATTTTATGACTATAGCTGCAGCCACTCGGCAGTTAAGTGAGTAGTATCAGACTTTAGCAGGCACCCTGTATATTTAAAAGTTATTTTTTTCTTGTGAAGCTTTACATTTAATTATAGTCGCCACCATCTAGTTAGATATTGCAGTAAGTTTATGTTTAGCGTTAAACTTGTTAACACAAAAACACTGATTTTCAATACCTTGCATGTTATCCGATCATTTCTTGTAGATGTTGCCAAATTTTCTGGCAACCGTGCACATGACCATTCTTCAGGTAACCATGCTGATAACAATGTTTCAGTCAAGCATAATCATTTTCATATGTATTCTTTTTATTGTACAGTCAAAAGTCATTAATCCAGACTCGTCGGGACTTCAACGATTCCGGATTATAGATCATCAGTTTAAATCTGGTCAGATGGCATGCAGAAATTATAAAATTAAAAATATGAAACCGTAATTTAGGAAATAAAGAACATTATGATCTAAAGCGTATCAAAATTTACAAAAAAAAAAAAAAAAAAAAAAAAAAAAAAAAGGCTTAATATTTATTTGTTTACTTTATTAAACATTTCTTTCAATGTAAGTTGTTTTAAGTTGCTTCATTTTATGTGATAATACTTTCTATTTAATTCTATAAACAGACATAATTTCTTGTTCAGTTACAAAGTTCCGCTGTCCAGGTCCTATAATTTGCTGTGTCGGGAATACTGACTAATTTGTCAATCGAAATTTTTTTGTTTTCAATAACCTCTGTGTCACTTTCTTCATTATCGGAAACGAATTATAATGAAGAGGAATTTGATTTAAATCATATCAAAGACGGAGTACATCGAGAGGAAATACTACATTTAGTAAGGAATTATAAGCCAAATAAAATAAAAACATCTGCCCTGAAGATAAGGATAGTGCTGACAGATCAATTTCCATTGACAGATCAATTTCCTGACAGATCAATTTCATTGCGCTGCGATGCCCCCCCCCCCCCCCGCCGCAGAGCAGCGTGAAATTGATAAACAGATTTCGGAATGGTTTAAGAAACAAAGGGCATGCCTTTATTCATTTTTTTGCAGCAATTCCACTTTTTGTTTGATGGACATTGAAACATACTTTCACTTTATAGATCCTTTGGGAGCTCCAGCATTGGAAATTCTATTTGACATAATCGAAAGTTCAAGCTTACTTTTATAAAATTGCTCTAACAGTCTACAAAAAATAATATGCCAGATCCAATTCGAAGATTAAGGAACAACGCAATCTGCAACATTAACTGAAATAGATAATTAGATAATTTTAGCTTATACCGTCCGTTATACATTAAACGCGCATGTGTAAACGTATTATGCACATGCGCACACGCATATGCGCAACCGTAAAGGTCTTACGCACGTCAACGCGACGCATGCACAGAAAGTTTGTAGCTTTGAGGTCCGGATTGTAGATCATTCCAGATTATGGGTGTCCGAATTAACGACTTTTGACTGTATTCCAGGTTCCAATAATTTTTATAGACAAATTGTGATGATTTTTGCCTTAAACCGAGTTTTATATTATGCGCTTGTAGAATTTGCCAGCTCTGGAAGAAACCGTGGTAAAATTTCTGCAAAAATATTGTATGAAAAGTGAAAATTCTTGTATTGTAGGAATTGTACGAAAGTGAAAATTTTTGTACATAGGAATGGATTTAATAGTGAACAAGATTCAATTTTTATGTTTGCAGTGATGGGTTGCATTTGTTAGATAGCCAGTTTACATTGCCAGGGTTTTGCACAGTGCCGAAATTACGCAAGTCTGAGGTATTTTTTAAATGAAAACAAATCACTGTATGCTTGGGGAAGGATTTTAGAATTCTAATTATTTTCATTATCCTTCTTTTCTTCTTTCTTACTTGAAGGATTTGAGATTCGAGAAATTTTAGTGTTTGGATTCAAATTTGAGTAAACTGTGGGAGTGATAATGATGACACTTTGTAACCATTTGAAGAGGTTGTTTTCAGTATTTATTACAGTTATACTTAATAATAAGATAGACCTATAGAAAAATTTATTCAACAACCAGTCAAATGCTGCTCAGGGAATGCTTATGGAATTGTGTATATTTATATATAAGCTGATGTAGAGTTTGGCATTTTCATGTTCAGGAAGCACAGGAGTGTATGATTACAAAAAAATTGCTTGGGTTAATTCATTAATATTATTACTTCTTTAAAAGGAGATTAGTAATATTTTCCATTATGGGTATTGATGGAATGAGACAGGATGTAATTGATTTGCATCATAAGACACCAAATGGGCAAAGATCATAAATGTAACATAGTGGACTTTGCTGACCACCATGTTTACTAGGTACTTGAAGCTCTCCAGACATGAACATTCAAATGAAAAACATTTCATTTCATAGTTCTAGTACATTTTGTTAGTTGCTCATTTCTGAGATTTGATAATTTGATCCAAAAGCTTAATCTAGTAACGTTTAGGAAACACACATTTCTAACAAGAGGTCAAAAACTGGTATATCTAGTATAATGAATCTTTTATATAAAAAGTGGAATAAAATGAATTTTCATAATACTCTGCCAAGCAAATTTAGATGGATTTTTTTGTTATATTATTGTCAGAGTTTAATTTCTAAAATTAAAAGTACTGAATCCCTAGGGAAAGCTAAGGAATAGACCAGAAAGAGGAATAAATATAAATAAATAAAGTAGCTAATGAAATAAAGGATTCATTAAAAATTAAATAAAATGTTAAAATATAGC